GGGAAAGAGAAAGGGAAGGGATGGGGCAGGCAAGGCTGCAGAGGACAGAAGTGCTGGGTTGGGTCCCAGAGATGTGTGCGTGCTGTGTGCACGGTGTACTCTGTCCCAGGGGTGACAAACAGGGGACACAGAAAGTATTTCAGCAGGGTATTGTTTGGTGTCTGTGCCATTTTATTGGAATGGAACCCACGTTTTGGAAACTCACGCTTGGAAAGTGACGGGTCACAAAGTCGTACAACCGTGACCACCGCTACCAAATCCGGGACATTTTCTGTGCTCCATACAGAAGCCCCATCCTCTTCAGGAGGCCCCAGAGCAGGGAAGGGCGGGAGGGCAACCGAAATGTCCGTTGATCCCAACCCAGGAAGAAGCCTGGGCATCGACCCCGGGGCCGGGAATCACGCGGGCCAGGCGCCGCCGGGCCCTCCTCCTCCGCCCGCAGCTTCCGCGGTCTGTCCTCAGCCCACGCGACTCAGGGAAGCCTGGGGCTCACTTCGCACCACAGGAAACAGTTTTATTTCTGGATCTGGTCCCTTGGCTCCAGAATGTGGGGTCCTTCCAGGGACTGTGCTGCTCACCCTGGTGCTGACTCTGGGCTCCACCCGCTGGAAGCTGATGGCCGGGTGGGGGGTGTGGGGGGATGGGATGGGGTGGGGAATGGGAAGGATAGGTGGGGGGTGGGATGGGGTGGGTGGGGGGTGGGAAGGATAGGTGGGGGGTGGGAAGGATAGGTGGGGGGTGGGATGGGGTGGGTGGGGGGTGGGAAGGATAGGTGGGGGGTGGGATGGGGTGGGTGGGGGGTGGGAAGGATAGGTGGGGGGTGGGATGGGGTGGGTGGGGGGTGGGAGGAGTGGGTGGGGGATGGGGTGGGGTGGGCACTGGAAGCTGAATCCTCACTGAGCAGCCCTGAGCCTCCCCCTCGGCCTCTGGGGGGCTCCCCCTTCTGCTCCTGGCTGGGCTCAGTCCTGCTGGCTCCGTGGAGGGAGGCAGCCCCTCACAGATCAGGGTGCCTGGCCTTGCAGCTGAGGCAGGAGGGGCAGCCATCTGGTGAGGCGAGAGGTTGCGGTTAGGACATCGCTAAGCCCGCCGAGGCGTCCCTTGGCAGTGACAGCAGCTTCTGGGATCAATTAGCAGAGCCACCCCAGCAGAGCTGGAGCTCCCGGGCCCTGCAGGCGCTGCAGGCGCGGCGGCCTCACCGCGCCTACTGACAGCCCTGGCGGGCGGGGCGGAGCGGGGCTGCTGGCCCTCCCTCCCCTTCCCCTGCCTCCCGCCGGGCCAGGCCGTCGGTTGCATCCAGAAACCGAACTCCTCCTGCCTCCGCTCTCCTGGCGGACTCAGCCCAATGCCCGTCTCAGTGTTCATACGTGTGAAATGGGTCACATGCTCATAGGCGATCACTTCCTGCAAAGTGAAAAAAACCTTCCTTTTCAGCACGAACAGGCACTGAAGCTGCCGGCAAAGGAAAGAATTCATTCATTCTTCCAATTAATGGCTCTTAGCCTTTCTGAAGGTGAGCCAGGCACAAAGAGAGACTAAACTGATGCGCTCTGCGCCGCGCTGGGGAAGCGGTGGCCTCTGGGGAGACGGATGTGTGTGAGCTGATCCCACGCAAGGCGAGGAGAGGAAAATATAGGCCTTGCTAGGGGACAAGGGCATCCGGAGGGCTTCCTGGAGATGGTGGCCTTTGAGAAGGAAACCTTCAGACAAAGAACAGGGTGAAAAGTCCAGAGAGCAGCACAGGTTCAGAGAGGGAGGGCCAGGCATCCTGGGGAACAGCGGGAAGTGGGGGAGGTTGGGGTGATTTGGAGCCCATGACAGTGGCTCAGGAAGGAGCTGGTGGCCTGGGGTCAGCTGAGCTAGGCCAGTGTTGTCAAGAGAAGGGGTGGCAGGAGCCACAAGGGGCTGTGGAGTGGGGAGTGAGGTCCAGGGTCCTTCCGGGGCATGTGCCTGCCCTGTTTTTCCTTCACCATTTGTTGAAAGGATTCTTTTCCCACCAAAGGATTCCCCACACCACCACAGTGCTGGGGAAGGGCTTTGTGCAGAGCTACATTCCCGGTCCTTTTTTATTTTAATTTTTGGAACAGCGGCTTGCTAAATCACTAAATTTCAGAGGCAGAGCTCGAATCCACAGTTCCTGCCTCAGCCTCCCAGAGCACTAGGATCACAGATGATCACTGATGAATTGGTACCAGGGCATTAAGTTGACCATAACCTTGGGGTACTGCAAAGGCTCCAGAGGGAAGAGGCAGTCAGGTGTGTGCCACGGAAGGACAGACGCAGTGCAGAGACAGGGAAGGACTTGGAGGTGGACAGCTGCCACGACTCATGGGCTTGGTGGGGGAAAGAGGAGGATTTAGGGAGAAAAACAGCTCTGCATCAACCCAGGCCCAGAATGGGGGACCCAGGACAGGGCTGTGTCTTGAGCCCAAGCCAGGAGGTCAGCTGGAATCTGGCCCACAGGCCATGGGGCGCCAATTAGGGAATGGGATTGGGCGGACAAGGGGGAGACAGGGGAAAGCCAGCCAGCCTTCCTCCATGCCTCGAGGACCACAGTGCTAAGAAATAAAACCCACTCCAGATGCAGCCACTTGCAAAGTAAGTTTCCAGGTGCTGAGAGGCTTGTAAAGGCAGAACAATGCCAATTACAGCAGCATTATCCTGGATTATAGAGCTTCTAAGTGGCCGCTCACACCTCCGGGCATGCTGTGCCTGGGAATTTCCAGGGGAGACTTGGGAGCCAAACATCCAGGCTGCCAGGATCAGGGCTCCCAGCTGGTGAGGACCAGCAGACAGGAGCAACTCCACGACCTCCACCGAGCCGCCTCCATTTCCCAAGGACATAAACCACCGAGACAACGCTTTGAAGGAAATTTGTCCTTCGAAGGCTTGCCCAGCACTGGGGACATCAGGTCCCCAGGGGCTCTTTCGGCTCTGTTCCTGGCGATCTGGGAGTTTCCGGGCTGTTGTGTCCTTTCACCCAGAGGAAGTTTTGGAGACACGTCTGTGCCGAGGCGCGTGCCAGGACTTTCCCTGCAGCACTTACATGAGACCGAAAAGCCGTCAGCACCTGCGGAGGCTGTGGCACTGGGCTGACTGAGTTAGGAGCCACCTGTCCTTGCATCCTTTGCTGTAGTTAGAGGCTGGCAGCCCCTCCAGGCTGTCTCGGGCAGGTCCATACCACATGTAACTGCGTGAACAAAACCCCGGGGGCACAGCCCACAAAGTGACCCAACGGAGGCACTTTGGGACTCCACACACACACCTTCCGTTTTGTATGTTCACATGCATGTACACAGATTCAGTATAAATGAGGAGCAGGAACACATCTCCAGGGACCCAGCAGTTACCTGGAGGGGGACTGGGACGGAGGCCCGCAGGTTGAAAGTGCCTCCCAGGGACTTTGCTGTAGCTAAATGTCTTATGGCCATAGCACATGCCTGTGTCCCCTGCTTAGATCAAAACATGATGCAAAACACGAGTTCACGCAGAGAGCATGACCTGACCCATGATGGCTAAGGCATGTGACCACAGCCATGGCTGTGACCACAGCTCAAGGGAGGAGTTAAGAAGCAGGGTGTCTCAGAGCCTTGGGCAGCTGTCCCCAAGGCTGAAATCTGGATTCAGGGCTGGCCATGGCCCTCAAGGGAGCAAAGGACACCCCGTGGAGTTTGGAAGGGACAGGGAGAAGCCACTTAGCTGGCTGCACCGAAGCAATACCCACCGCTCCTGGAGGAGCTGTCTGCCAAGAAAACTATTGAACTCCATAAAAATCCATCCCTGAAATCCCACAGGTGTCCTTAGAGTGGAGCGTGGCCTTTAAATTAGATGGGGCGGAGGGAGAGGCAGGTTTTTCTTATAACTTGATTTCAGGTTACTTGAGGGATGGTGACCAAAGAGCAGTGGCTTCCCCTGGCTGAGGCCACCCTCTACAGTCCTGCCATTTGGCTGTGAAGGGAACCCCAGCCCCACTGAGAATTGGAGGTGACAGGCACATGTTCCCATGGAAACTCAGCTGCGCGGAATCCTGTGGAAATTTTCCTGAGGAGGGGCCACTGCTCCCCGCTTCCCTTCAAGGATGAGACGTGGAAGGAAGGGAGAGGTGAGACTAACTGGAGGGGCCCGTGGATTTCACCCAGTTTCCAGCATTTGCCACCCCTGGGAGAGGCTGAGATGGGTGCCTGGGAGTCGAGAAAGTCATGGAAATGTTTCAGGTGCCCTGGGGCTCTGAGAGGCTGGCGGGGGACAAAGCCTTGGTGGAACATGACCTCAGGAGGGACAGCAGGGGGCAGGAACCCTCTTGGGGAGAAACTAAAAGAGCAAGACCCCCAGACCCCAAGTGCCCTTGCACATGGGGCCCTGGGATGAGGTCCTGCAGGAGCTTCCTCTGCATCCTAAGTCACATCCGTCCGCCCTCAAGAACCCTCCCAGCTCTCTCAGCATCTCCCAGGGGCATCCCAGGTCCAGCACCTCTCCCCTCCACCCTGCTCCCTGAGCAGACTCAGGCACCCCCTTCAGAGGTTCCCTGTCCCCCCACTTAGCAGAGTCCCTCCCCGCTGCCCTGCAGCCTGGTTCTCTGAAGGATGGCTCTGGGGGAGCTGCTCACCTGCTGCAGCCTGCCTGTGCTAGGGAGTCCCCCATCTGTCCTCCTGAGCAGTCCTGACTGTCACACAAGCCTGGCACAGGCAGCAGTGACCTGCTCAAGCCCACGTTGCTGCTGGGGTCCAAGAAAAGCCCAGTGACCACCCTGCTCCAAGGCGCTCAGCTCATGGCCCCCTCTGTCCCCTCCTCCTCCTGCACCTCCTATTTCTGCAGGGTTTTGGTGTTGGGGGCTGGGGACTTCATGCTTGGTCTTCTTGGTCACCTATGGGGCTCCAGAACATGGCTCCTCCCTCTTCCCTAGAGACCTCAGCGTCCCTGTGTTCCACTTCCTCTGGAGCAGGCTCAGCCACCCGGCTGTGTCCACCAGAGGGTGACCATTCAGTCATGAGAGCCTCAGTGGCTGTGGGGAGAAGCTGGGATTTTATTCCAAATGAAGCAGGAACCCCAAAACAGCAGAGGAGAGACTCCAGGCGGATGTTATCAGGTCGCTGCTGGCTGCTTCACGAGGAAGAGACTGTGGGAACAGGCAGCAGCTGGGCGCCCTGAGGGTGGCACTTGAGCCAGGGCAGGCAGTGAAGTCTCCACCCAAGGCCCCTTACTTCCCTGGTAAGGGCTGGAAAAGCCAGAGTCCCCGCCAAAAGGTCCAGGGCAGCAGACAGCAGCCCAGGAGGTGGATGAAATGGGCATGGGCTGGGGGCTCCCCAGGTCTTGCCAGCTTTGAAGTTCATCAGCCCAGTCCCCACCTCTGGCTAATGCAGTCCGGAGTCTGGAAGAATGCTCTGCATGAGGCACCCCATTCCCCCCAAGGCAAGCCTTGCATTGATGAAATCCAGCCCCTGGGAGCCCTTCCCGCTGTGTGTTCACAGGCTAAGGCCGAGGACAAAGCTGGGTGGCCACGGCTGTCCTGGAAGGCCTGGTGCCACTCTAGTGGACTGTCCCAGGGACTTCCAGAGGTCTGTCTGTGCCCAGCCCCCACCAGTCTTCCTTCCTATCCCTGCAGAAGGTGCTGCCCAAGCTGGGCATGATGCTGCATGCCCGTAATCCCAGACTCAGGAGGCATTGCCACATATTCAAGGCCAGCCTCAACTACATAGTGAGACCCAGTCTCAAAAATCTAAAAACAACAACAAAAATGATGCTGCCTGAGCCCTGGTGGTACAGTGCTGCTTGGGGACTCAGGCTGGGCTTGAGTGCTCCCTCTCTCTGAGCACATTTGGGTTTCATATGAGGGCACCCCAGGAATCCCTGGAGTAGTCCAGGAGGTAGGAAGGGGGTGCTGACCTGCCCGACAATCCATGAGAAGGCCAAGGAGCAGAGCAGCAAGGGAAGGACGGCTCCTGATGGCCTGGGTGACCGGGACACGGAGGCCCTGTGTGATGCACCGCAAGGGGTCTCGGGACACTGGGGACAGCAGAAGGCTCCGGGCCAGGCACTGGGGATCCCCCTGACCACCCCCAGCCTAAGCCTCCACAACTCAGAGGCCCCCTGAGGGCCCAGCTGGAGAGGCAGCAAGCCATGGCCCTGCACTGGCACGGGGAAGAGGGCGCCTCGAGGAGTCAGGAGGCCACCAGGTCCCCTCTGGCTTCCACCCCAGAGTCAGGGGCTGGAGCCAAAGGCCGGTGAAGTCTGAGGAAGAGGGTGACCAGAAGCAGCACAGGCAGTGGGGCCAGGAGTGGCCAGCTGGAAGGGACTCTGGGGAACTAGGCCCTGAACTGGGGAGGCCTAAGGAGCAGAGGGTGACTGGCGAGTACAGGGGGCCAACCCCCTGGGCAGCAGCTTGGGCTTCTTCTGAGGGGAGAGGAGAGCTTGAGGTCATTCGCCAAGCTCCTGTGTAGCAGCAGCTGCCCTGTACCCTACACCCCACCCCAAATACCAACTCAGCCTGTTCCAGGACCCCTGCTCAGTCTCACTTGCTGGCCCACATCCTAGGCCTCCCTACCATCTCCACCCCAGTGCAGCCTGGGTGTGGCTGACCATTCCCGCCCAGCCCCAGCCCACCCTAGCATCCTGCTTCACTGGACATGGCCACACAGCCTTTGGACCAGTGGCGCAGGTGGGGATCATACAGTGGCTCAGTGCAGGCACCCATAGGATCCCTGCTGTGTCCGGGGCTCACAGCGCCCACAGGGCGGGATGCAGTCAGGGGCTCAGGCTGGGGTGCAGAGTGGGGGGAGTGGGGCAGCCCAAGGTAGGGGGGCCCTGAGTCTGAGCATGAGGGGTGCTGTGTCCCTGGGGGCCTGGCTCCTGGTTCAGATCGAGTCTTTGACTAGAGGGGCTGCTCCGAGCCCCTGGTTAAGGCCACTGTCTTAGAGATTTTCATAGACCAGGTTCCCCTCGCTGTCATCCTGGAACTGCTGCTCTTTCTCCTGGGAAGGAAAGAGGGAAAGGGGGCGGGGGGGAGAAGGGGCAGAAAAGGAGGAAGAAGTTGGGGAGAAGGAGGTGGAGGCAGAGGGGAGAGAGGAGGAGGAGGAGGAAGAGGAAAAGAGAAAAAGCAGGGAAACACATTAGGTAGGAAAAAATGGACCTGTGCTAACACGCTTTGCGTTCAAGGCAGAGACCACTTCCTGTGCGGCTCCACAGGGAGTCTGAGCCCAAATCTGCAGCCTGTCCTCTGCCTGGTGTCCAGCCACCCCTGCCCCATGCGTGCTCTGTGTTTGGCCTGGCATGTACCCTCTCCACACCCCTGGCTCCCTAATTGGCTTCCATTCACCCTGCAGGACCCATTTTGGGTCCTTGGGAGCCCTTCCTGCCCAAAGCGCTGGCCTGGACCCCCCTGCAGCCCAGCCCTTGCACCATCTCTATGTGGTTGGGCTCCCAGAAGACACAGCCCTGCCGCTCCCCGTCCAGGATCCCAAGGCCTGGTGCAGGGCGGCCACTGCCTGGGGTGTTCCAGACATCCACTGGGTGCCAGCGTGGGAGGCCTTGACTTAGTTGTAACTAAGGCCCTAAATTCTAAGTCACTTGTAACTGACTTAGAATAGGAGACTCAACTTGTACTCCCAGGCCAAGCTGGGGAATGGGCACCAAGCCTTGGGCTCCCCACTTTTCAAGGCTTAACCCTAATTTGTGCTGCATGAGATTCAAAGCTCTGGCACAGAGACTGATCTTTTGCATCCTGTGGTGCACGGTTTTGCAAACAGACCAGACTCATCTACTTTCCTAAGAAGCAAACTGAGGTTTCAGGGAGAACAGGTGAGCAGCTACCAGGACCAGGGTCCTGCATGACGGAATCGGAGGCCTGGCCAGGCCGTGCTCATGGGCACCAGCTTGGATACCAGCTCCCATTTCGCCAGCACTAGCGTGACCAGCCAGTGTAGACACTGCCAGTGAGAGTTGGCATCACTGTGCTCTGTGGGTGCCCGCTGGCTGCCCCCTCCGGCTGTCCTCACATCCAGCTGTGAGGCGGGGGCTATGTTGGTGGCTCAGTTTACAGACCAGGAGCGAGGCTGGTGTCCCCAGGCCCTGCGTACCTGGGAGGGAGGGCTCTGGGCAGGGCACGGGGTGCCTGCCTTGCTGTCAATGTAGGCGTAGACTTCGGTCTCCCGGTGCTGCAGGGCCTGCGGGAGGTAAGGGCGTGTCATAGAGGGTCTGCCAGCCTCCCTGCCTGTCCCACCCCTGCCTGGGACCCACAGTCCCGGCTGCCATCCACCCTCACTCCCAGTCCCAAGCTTCAGCCTCTGTGAGAGTCCTGCCTGCCCACCCACACCCTCTCGGACCCTCCCCACCAGCTGTCCTGGGCTCATAGGGGACCTAAGCATCTGTCGGGTTACCTCTTACCTTCCAGGTCTATGCCATGCTGGGGGCATCTGCAGTCTAGCCCTTGATCTCAGGGTGCCCCCTCCCCACCTGACATTTCTCTTCCTGGATTCTGGTCCTTCCCAGGAGCTCCTCTCTGGGAATTCATGGGAACACAGCCCCACACAACCCCGGCTTCCTGCCGGGGAAGCCCCTGAGAAAGGTGAGTTCCCTCTGGGCTGGGGGCCACCACGTCAGATCTGCTCCCTGAAGCCTCCCCCTGGACTGAGAGCCTCCTGAGGGCAGGGTCTGTGCCTTGTTAGTCTCTGGGTTCCTGAGCCAACAGCTGGTCTTGGCGCGACCATGGAGACCAGGTGAGCCACGGAGAGGAGACACCTCCCTCACCTGTGTGTGTCCCCAGCCACATCGAAGAGGCCTGACAGGAGCACACAAGACTACGTCAATCCTGGCTATGATACCTGCCAGCTACGCCAACCCCTTAACTGCTCTGTGCCTCAGTTTCCCAACTGTGGAATGGCAATGATCATCTGTATTTTGCAGGTTTAGCACAGAAGTAAATGAGATACCATACATAAAGGGTCCCGCACAGAGTTAGGCAAATAGTAGGTGCTTAATAAGCAGCTTCTGAGTGATCATCAAAGAGGACAAAACGCTGCACCCTCCTCCTGCAGCCCAGATCTACCCTCTGACCCCACCGAGGTCCAGAGCAAACCTGACCAACAGCCTAAGCAAGAGGCAGAAGCCAGAAGCCTACTTTCCCATGTATGTGTCATATGGATGCCGGCTTGTTGCCAAGGAGGCGGTTTCCCTGGCAACAGTCAAGCAGGGGTTGCCAAGGCAGGCTGGAGAGACAGGTGGTGCTCAGAGGCAGGAGGAGGGTGGGGAGCAGGAGGAGAGGAGGGAAGGAGGCGCTGCAAGGCAGCCGGGCATGAAAATCCATGTAATAAACCATTTGGCGCTTGGGAGACCCTCACTTCAAGGGCATCCAACACAGGGGCGGTGGGGCTCCCTTGGGGTCCCGCTCAAGAGGTCTCTGAGCCAGCAAGAGGTGGGTGTTTGCAGGTCTTCCGATGGGTCCCCTCCCCAAGGAGGAGCTGTGGGTCCAGGGGAAGGAACCTTTCTCCACCTGTGCAGGTCTGTGTGTCCACCCAGGGTGCCAGCTGCCCCTGGTGCAGAATGGACAGGCTGTGCTCCTCGACCTCTCTGTCAGCCCATTCCCTGTCCATCTAGGCCTGGACCTCTCTGCAATCTCACAGATCTGACAGCTGCACTGAGCTGGACATTTCTGGTCACAGAGAGGAGATGGGGGAGCCCCCTACATATCTCAGCTAGAAGACTGATCTGGGGTCCCATGGGTGGCTCCCCTACCCCCTGCCCAGTGTACCTGGTCTAACAGAGCTAGACAGAGCCAGACGCAGGGAGGGTGGATGGGCACTTGCACGGTGACTGGGCAGGAGCAGCTGTGGGCTGAGGACAGGACAGGCCACAGAGACGGCCACCGCTTAGCAGCTGTGGCGTGAAGCCTTTGACAAGTCCTGACCTGTGGGCTGCATTTGCATTCAGGACGTGACCCACAGCAGCAGACAGGGAGATGCAGGACACAGCTTCACCCCAGCCCTCCCTGGCTGCGCCTGCTGGAGGAGACTGCTGGCCTCTCAGAGGCTGGCCTCTGCCTTGGCCATCCAGGCTGGGCCACGATACCCCAGGGCTGTGCTGCTCTGGGCTAGAACTGTCCTGGGCTGTGCTGGGCTCAGTGTCCTAAGACTCTGTTTGAGACTCAGGTCCTGCCCACTCTCTTGTCTGCTGCTGGCCTGTGTGTAACAGTGCTGACCTGATTGGTCATCAGCCTGGCAAGGGTGTGAAGGCAGTGCCCAGGCCATCCTTCAGGGGGTTTAAGGGTTGTGCAAAGTCACTGCCTTGGCCTGGATCTAGCCTGAGGGTCCTGACATTGAGAGCCAGGGGGAAATCTGGGGTGCTGTTTAGAAAGGGAGGCACACCCAGCTGTAGGTCATCACTAATTCCCAGTTGTGTGTTGGAAAGGTCTCTGCCTGCTGCAAGGAATGACAGCCAGAATGGGGACACTGTGCCAGGAGGAGGCCAGGAGCAGCACTCAGGACACTGCTGAGAGGCTGTGAACCACAGCATGGGCGCCCCACATTTGCCACTGGGGTCCGCCTAGCCCTGTATTGGGTCCCACAGGACCAGGACACCCTGGAAATTAAGGACAGTGATGGGCCCTGGCTGGTACCAGGGGAGAGGGCTGCAGAAGGACAATGATCACCTAAGCCAAAGGTGGCCGTGAGAGCCGTGGACAGGACATGGTTGTCATCTGAAAAAGAAGGCCCCATCCCAGGACAGGAGGGGCTTCCCGGGAAGGGGAACCACTGCAGTGGGCAGGCTGGGGGTGGGTACCCTGGTGAGTTCAGGAAGCAGCACAGTGACAGTGACAGCCTGGAGGCCCACAAGAGTCCTGAGAATCACTTCACAGACCAGTCTCCGAGAGGGGAGTGGGTCACACCCGGGACTCAGGTGTCCCAGGGCTCTGGAGCCCTCCTGCACTCCTCCCCCATGGTGGGAAGGCCTCGGCCGCAGGGATCCCTCTTCCGGGGACCCCCTGCTTTCTCCCCATCTCCTCTATCAGGGTCACTGCTGCTCTACGAGGCCCTCGTCACACCACAGGCACTGAACGGAGGACCCCATGGGCTAGCGGCTTAGTGGGGTGCCCTGGCTGCTGACCAGTCCTCCTGCCGAGGGCAAGGGCAGTGTCCAGACGGGAGACAGGTGGGGAGCAGGGAACCAGATTCCAGGTCGGCTCCAGAGCCAGGCTCGCTGATGAATCAGCTGGGCAGTGATGGGAGGAAACAAGGAAAGCCCCACATTTGAGCCCCAAGCCGAGCCCCAAGCCATCATTTTGCACCGCCGACAGCTGCAGAAAGAGGCGGGGCCAGAGCCGGAGTCCGACTTAGGAGAAGCAAGCGGCGACCAAGCAGAAGCTGCCGGGCTGTCCAGAGACCTCGGCACTGTGGACGGAAACTTGGGGGGGGTCCGGGGTGTGGGTGACAATCAGAACCTTAAGCACAATAGGACCACCCGGGGAGGAGCGTGTAGATGCCCAGAAGGATTCTTCAGGCTTGCCCCTCCCCCCAGTCAGTGGGGTCTGGGCCCCACAGATCTGGAGGAGGAACCTGTGAGCGGAGATGGAAGAGGGGGGCAGCGAGTCTGGTGGAGGTGGGACCAAGGAGGAAAGGGTTGGAGAAGCTTCCGGCTCATCGGGACAGTGAGGACAGAGAATGACCACCCACCCAGGGATTTCATGCTGCTGCCGTGGGCGACCCTGCTAGGGCGGAGGGGCTGCTTGGAAGGGTTTTGTTGGCAGGAATTATGAAGGAAGAGGAGGCAGTTGGAGGGGGTAAGGGCCTCACCTCAAAAGATAAGACATTTAAGGAGCCAGGGATGGTGGCCACACAATAATCCCAGTCCTCTGGAGGCTGAGACAGGAGGATCTCAAATGGGAGCCCATTTTGGGGAATTTAGCAATTTATCAGGACTTTATCTCCAAATAAAAAAGGGTTGGAAACATATCTCCAGCAGCACCAAAAAATACCAAAACAACAACAGAGGTCACAGCCTGTTCACAAGCCCCGAGGGCAGTATTGTATCACCAACCTGTCACATAGTATGGACCCAAGACTCACACAAAAATCAAATGATCATAGGGTCAATAAGAATATAGATTATTTTAAAGATAAAGCAAATTTTTTTTTTGCAATATTGGAGATTGAACCTAGGGTAGTTCCACTGAGCTACCTACCAGTCTTTTTGTTTTAGTTGTTTTTACTTTGAGACAAGATATCATACAGTTGCCCAAACTGGGCTTGAATTTGTGATCCTCCTGCCTCAGCCTCCCAGAACGTTGTGATTACAGCTATGTGCCGCCATACTGCGCTGTGACCAACAGACCTGACCTATTGACAGATGGAATACACAATACAAGTCTGTTTCAAGTGCACCAGAATAGAAGCTGAGCCACAAAGCAAGTCTCAAACTACTTAAGAGGATTAAAATCTGATCATGACAAAGTAACCAGAAATTAAAAAAAAAAAAGGACAATAACTAGAAAACAATTAAAACCTCAAATTTTAAGCAAAACATTTGAAATAACCAATAGGACAAGAAAGAAAGAATCCTCTATGGAAATTTACAATAAAAGATAATGAAAATACAACATATCCAAATCCCAGGCGGCTGAAGGTATAGCTCAGAGGTAGAGTTCTTGCCTAGTATGTGCCCGGCCCCAGATTTGGTTCCTAGCACTACACACACACACACACACACACACACACACACACGCACGCACGTGTACACACACACACACACACACACAGACACACACACGCACGCACGTACACACACACACACACACACACACACACACATGCAAACACACATGCATGCTCCTTCCTCAGGGTTTCTAAGCAGCCCAAGGGTGCCTCCATTATGGCTCCTGTTGGTCCTGGTCATTCACACTGGAGGTTTTAGCCAGTGCAATAAACCAGAGAGGGAAGGAAAGGATGGAGGGCGTAAAAAAAAAGGTAAGAGATTTCGGAAAGGAAAAAGTGAAACTTCCATCGTTCATGCATGGCACGATGGGGCTCCTAGAAAACCCAAAGTATCCACTGAGAAACTCTCAGAGCTCATGGGTGGGCTCAGCAAGATCACACCCAGACAACCCCATCAACCGTATCAAGACGGGCATGGTGGCACTCGCCTGTAATCCCAGCACTTGGGCAGGATGAGTTCAAGACCAGCCTGGGTTACACAGTGAGCCCAAGGCCAGCCTGAAGTGCACAGTGAGAGCTTGTCTCAATGAAAAAAAAAAAAAATCACCCATATCTCTACACTCCAGCAATCAACAAGCAGGAAACCCACGAGAGCGTGACAACACCTGCACATAGACACCTGGCCGAGAGTACCAGTGAGCGGGGTGTCCACAGGAGGCTCCTGCTCCTGTCATCATGGTCACTAACAACACCTATCTCTGCCCAGAGATGGCCCCAGCCCATGAACCTTGGCTCAGGGTTAGTAAGGTCTGGGGGCCTCTGACTGCATCTCCCTCCGGCCCTGAGACCTCCCTCAGCCACCCGTGTCCCTGCAAGCACCTAGACCCTTGGCCACACTGGAGAGGTCAGCCTCAGCCCCAGAGGCTGCTATAGGCAGCAGAAGCCGCTCAGGCACAAGTGAGTCTCTTCCAACAAGGAAGTCTTGGGCCAGGCATACAGTGCAGCAGCATAAGTGCCTGCCTGGCAAGTGCAAGGTTGTGAGTTTGATTCTCAGCACCAAAAGAATAAAAGTCTCATGGGGGCTACTTGTTCAATGGAAAAATGATCACAGGATATGTCACCTGAAAAAAGTTAGCCGTGCAACTGTAATTTTAACAAATGGGGGTCTGGGGTGCAGCTGGGAGGTGGGGTGTACACCTAGCACACCTGAGGCCCTGGGTTCCATCTAAAATAAATAGATCTGGGGATTTAGCCTGCCTGGCAAGTGCAAGGTTGTGAGTTTGATTCTCAGCACCAAAAGAATAAAAGTCTCATGGGGGCTGCTTGTTCAATGGAAAAATGATCACAGGATACGTCACCTGAAAAAAGTTAGCCGTGCAACTGTAATTTTAACAAATGGGGGTCTGGGGTGCAGCTGGGAGGTGGGGTGTACACCTAGCACACCTGAGGCCCTGGGTTCCATCTAAAATAAATAGATCTGGGGATTTAGCCTGCCTGGCAAGTGCAAGGCCCCAAGTTCAATTCCCGGTTCCCCCCATGGTGTGTGCATTGTTTCTGTGTATTTCTAGAAAAGATGGGAAGGCAGAGAAGTCAGTTCCTAGCATGTTTCCTGGAGGAAGATGAGGCTGCCACGACTGGGTTATCTTCCTACGTAACATGTGCGTGTGTGTCCCTCAGAAGGGAGGGAAACCGAGATCTTCACCTAACAGCTGATGGCAGAACCCCGAAAGAGAACATGGCATGAGCTGCCGGGAGAGATTGGATTTGGGGAAGCAGCAGCCGTGGAAATTCCCTGGGGTGGGGGTGGAGTGTCCTGCTCTCCTTGGAGCCCTGGACACTGCCCCATGGGGACAGTCCCTCAGCCACATTGCCACTAGCCCCAGACTCTGGGCCTGCCCTCATGGGTTGTTGGAGGGAGGCCATGAGGCTGGCGTGTGCCCTGGGGTGGTGGGGACAGAGGTGGGAGGGGCACAGGGAGGCCTGTGGGACCCCTGTGAAGGGAAGGAAGCCCAGCCTGGCAGCCTTGTGCCTCCCGGGACCAAGCGAGGGTGGCACTGGTGTTATGAAAGCCCATTCCTCAGCCCCTCAGCGCCAGGCCCAGTGCTGGGCTCTCAGGCTCCCTGTCCCCTCCCCGCCTAACCACGAAGACCGTGCTATGGCCGAGTGTCTGCTACACCTGCAAGGCCGCGTCTGTGCACGGTGGGGAGAGAGGGTCCTGGCAGGGTCACGGGTGTGGGTTTGGGGTGTGCCCCCCCTTTTCTCTTTCGGTAATTGCTGTTGTTGGGGCTGCGATGTTGTAAACAGGATCTGGGGAGCTGGTCCATGTCATTTGGTCAGATGAGGAGACATTTTCATTCCTCACTGACCCTTGCCCTTGCTACACCTTGTTCCAGAAGGGAAAAGGTTTGCGGGTGGGGTGGGGGTGGCTCCCCACATGCACCTAAAGCCAGGGTCCCCCACACGCAGTCTCTCCTTTCACCACAAGGCAGGAGTCTCTGCACCCACTTCACAGATGGGGAAACTGAGACTCAGACAGGTTTCCCCCAGTGGGTACAGATTGAGCCAGGGGGTCATATCCCAATTTAGGCCTGAAGAGGTGGCAAAGCCCAGGCCCTGGGACTCACCGTGTAGACGGATTCTGCAGCTGGCTCTGTGGCTCCGCTGGCAGTTCTCTGGTCCGGGCTCAGCTGGGTGGGGTGCTTCTTTGGAAACAGGCTTTGTTTCTGTGAGGAGGAAGGAGCCAGGGTGGCCCGGGCTGGTGACATGTGGCCCTCTGGTTTCCTTTCCTTCACCGTCCCCACAGGGGAAACCATGGTGCATTCGGATTGTGTGTGAGGCCACACAGAAGCCAATCACTCAGCACCTCCCGTCTCCACCCTCTGGGGACAGGTGATGGAAGGCTCCGAGGCTGGGTCAGGCCAGCGTGTGCCTGGAGCCAGAGGCAAGGACGATGGCCCACACAGGAGACACTGTCGGGGGCAGGCGCCAGCTGGGGAGGGGCCGGGGTGCAGGTGCTGTGCCAGTGTGGTGAGTCCTGGGCCTGCACCGAGGCAGGGGTCCCCTCTGCCCTTGATGTCTCTGGTCTGGAGCCCCTGCTTCCCTGGCCTCTGTGTCTCCACCCACAGGGACCAGGCAGCAGGTGCCCAGCAGTCCCATGGCACCCAGGAAGCAACCTGTCACCCACATAGCCCTGCCGGTAAAGCTCAGCACCTCTGTTAGGCAGGCAGCAGGAAGAGGGGACACAAGCCAGCAATGCATGGTGGGCAGCAGAGGCCCTTCATTTCCCAAGGCTGCAGGGCTCCCAGAAGTCAAGGCTGGACAGCCAGCCGGGAGGGCACAGGGCTGGGGGACGGCTGAAGACATGAGGAAGGGGGGCCCAACGTCCCCCTCACTGCAGGTGGCATGTGCCAGCAGTGGAGTGACAGTGGCCTCACCTCAGGGCAGGAGCTAATTAAAACCCCTGGCCCCCGCCTGTCCCAGCCCATTTACCCAGGATTAGCTCTGAGAGCTTCTCAACTCCAGGCAGAGGCCAGGGCCACCCGGGTCTCAGCATCTGACTGGGGGCACGGGGCCGGAGCAGGCACGTCCTCGCTAGGTCCTCGCTCAGGTCCTCTCGGCTCCCCACACCGGGAAGTAAAGGCTCAGAGGGGACAGGGGACTTGCGAAGCTGCCAGCAAGTGGCAGAGGCAGGGTTTGAAGGCTGGCAGGCAGCCCCTGGGGTTTTCTCTCCTCTGTTTGTTACAGTGTGTAGGTTGTGCAGGTAGAGGCAGGGGCCAGCCTCTGGGGCGTGCTCTACAGTTTACAAAGACCCCCAGGACCTGTCTTTTTCTCATTTTGTCCTCCTAGTACCTGAAGAGGTAGAGCTGAGGCCGGTCCAGCTGCTGGGTGGCTGCGCTGGGAGGGATCCCAGATGCCTGCCTGCCCTGGGCCACCTGGAGGGCACTGTTACAGTCAGGGGTGGTGGCCTCCCCCAGGTCCCTCCGTGCTTGCCCTGTCCTGGTGCCACTCCCCCTCTGAGCCTGCAGGTTGGACATCACTCAGGGGCTGCCCTGGGGTGCCCAGGGTAAGACCACAGAAGACCAAGTGCCACCTTGTCTTTACTCTGTGGGGCAGGGAAGAGGATGCGCCACAGTAGGGTGCGGCTGTCAGCAGCTTGGGAAACCTGCTGAACCTCAGTTTCCCCCTTGGGAAACGGAGTGACAGGTTGCCCTGCCCATCGCATTCCCTGGCCTCCTCCAACTCACCGTCTGCTGTCACTGTGCAGGTGATTCTACCCTACACTGGGCTCCTCCAGCCACTGGGGACAGCCATCCGTGCCCCACAGGGGCTGTGCTCTGATGAGGGGACTCATTATACGCAGGAGCCCAGGTGCAGAGGCCTGGAGGCCAGGAGTGCTGCCCGGTCACATGAGGTGGTGACACCCTCTGGCCCTGAGAAGCCCGGATGTGTCCCCGGGTCTGGGCCACATCCTCAGCAGGTGGGGATCAGCCCTCCTGCACAGCTCAGGGAACCCCAGGAACACAGACGAGCTCTGGGGAAGGAGCCCAGGGTGCACCAGGACCACCTTGACCCTCAAGTAGGATGCGGCCCTCATAACTGCTCCCACAGCAGCAGTCACGGCACCCCTGGGAGCTACTCGGAGTGCCTGGAAGCCACACTCCTTCCACAGCCCTGGCATGCGGCTCCTGGGCTTGGCACCATATTGGGGAAACTGAGGCAGGGGTGTGAGGTGTCCTGAGGGAGCTCACAGCACTGGCAGGTGGCATGGGGGAAGGGGACACAAGCCCTGAGGCTGTGCTCTTAACCCTCCATCATCTGCCTCTTTCTTTCACAGATAACTTGTCACCACCAGGGTTACCAGGCAGCTGTGCCACCAGACTGAGGGTCTGTTTAGTCTGCTGGGTGAGCTCCGGACCCCTGGCCTCTAGCACTGAGCCTGGCACATAGTAGGTGCTCAGCTAACTCAAAGATGAATGCACTGATTTAATAACGACTGTAAAAGCATTTGCAAGTACTGACTTAGGGCCTGCTGTGTGCAGGGCCTGTACTGAAGGCTGGGGCTGCAGCAGGGAGCAGCCAGAGACAGTCGAGGAACAGGAACTGGCAGGGTCTGGGTGCAATGAGAAAGCGGGGAGCTCCAGGGGGCAACACCTCTGCCCCAGGAGGCACCGCCCTGCCCTTGGGATGAGTCAGTGTCATCCCCGGTCCCCCCCCCCCCAGCAGCGTGGCCTGGCGCCTGCACTCCAGCCCTGACTCCCGTGCTTGCTGTGTGACCTCAGTCACCCCACGGCCCCTCTGAGCCTAGCTTTCCAGCGCTTGGAGATGGCGGGGAGCTCCTCACAGAGCCACGAGGGGAACTGTGAGTGCTTCTGTGTCGGAGCGTGCTGGGGGCATCGTGCCTCCAGGGCTGTTCTTCCCTTCCGGGTTGCCCGGCTCAAAACACAGGAAGCTTGAGGGCCTGCGCCCTGCCTTGGACACTCAGAGGGACCCACAACCTAGCGGAGCTCTCGTTTTTAACAATGAGATAGGAAGGCGGCTGGGCACAGTAGTGCACACCTGTCATCCCAGCACTCCAGGAGGCTGAGGCAGGAGGAGGGCAAGTTTGAATCCAGTCTGAGTGAGACCCTATCTCAAAATAAAAGATAAAAGCGTCTGGGCTGTAGCTCAGTGCAGAGGCCCTGCTGCGTGGATCCCGGGCCCTGGGGGACACAGGAAGGGACCTGGCCGTTTGGCTCCCACCAGAGGGGGCAGGCACAGCGGGGAGCGGCTGAGCCAGGGTTCAGCTCCATCTGCTGCGGGGCCCAGGATCCCTGTGTGTGGGGGATGAGGTGTCACTTTGTAGGCCCAACCCCCTCTAACCTACAATTTACAATAGCCACCCTGGTATGCGAGAAGGAGGTAGAATAGGAATGCCTGTTCTCAGTGAGCCCCTCACCCTCTGGAATCCATACTGTGAGCTGGCTTTGTTTTGCAGAAGTCTTGAGGAAGTGGCTGGCCACCCTTTGTGACACTAACAGCAGACAAATTAACAACATTCTTGAGCTAATAAATTTCTTCCTGGGCTAGAGAAGTTATAAGAACTGGTTGTGATTATTTATTTCACTTAGATAGCTTTAGAATAAACATTGTAGTCTGTCACGTTGTAGCTTGCCACAAAGAATGCCTTTTCACTACTTAATTATCTGGGCTCTGTGAACTGATCGGGTTTACTATATATGAATCCTAAAATAAAGATTGTGCGTGCAGTGCAGTGTAACGCGGTGCAGACAGTAAAGGTGTCTCTCCTGTCTTTCTTTTCCGAGCACTGTACCCCCCGTGTCCCGATCAGGCGTGTGTGCGTGTTTACCTTGCCCGGAGTTCAGAGTGCTCTAAGACACTCACGACAAGTGGCGCCCGAACAGGGACTCCGAAGGTCGCTTAGGAAGGTAAGTATAATTTTATTACGGGGAAATGGGACAATCTGCTTCCTCTCCTTTCTTAAAAATTCTTAAACATTTATTATCTATATATGGCATATCGCTCAGGTCAGCTGACTTGGATATGTGTATTGATACAATTAAAGAATATAATCCTTGGTTTCCAGATGAAGGAACTTTGGATGTAGAAGTATGGAGGAAGGCAAGGGTTAGTATAGAAAGGGCTATGCAACAGGAGGAAAAGATTCCTTTACGTTTTTGGGCTATTTGGTCGGTTGTGTACTCTTTATTAAAAGCTATGGAAGATGAACATATTGTAAAAAATCTTCAACTAGAAATTAAGCCAGTTATTCAGGAATTGCCCCTCACAGAGGAGGAGCAGAATGTAGTTCAAAATGACGCTATCGCTTTAAGTAGTGAAAAGGCGTCCAAACTAAAAGTAAAATCCACTACAGCCGACTCAGCTTTAGCTGCCGCAGCAATATCAAATTATGACAATCGCCCAATTTTACAGGCTATACAACATTTAACACAAGAGGTGAAACAACTCTCCGTTAAGCAAAACCCGCCTGTAGTTCCCTCTGCACCTCCTCCATCTAACCCTAATTGGAGTAAAGCCAAGCTAGCTTTGGCTGATCTACCAAAATTAGGGGATTCTGATGAGGAAAAGCCTGCCTTTGCTTTCCCTGTAATCAGGCCACAGCCAATAGATGGAGCGGCAGTTCCCCCTAGATGGGAAGCATTTAATATGGATGATTTAGCAAAATTAAAAAAGGCTGTAACCCTTTATGGCCCTCAGGCTCATTACACTAGAGAATTAATAACATCAGTAGCAGATCAGTATGGTAATCTTGCTCCTTATGATTGGAAAGCCTTGGCCAAAATTCTTTTAAAGGAGCCAGAATATTTACAGTGGCACATGTGGTTTATGGAAGGTTGTGCGGAAAAGGCAAGACAAAATGCTGACGATCGAGATCCTAATATTAGACTCCTTTCTTATCCCATGCTCTCTGGTACAGGTTTCTTTGATACTGTTGAGCATCAGGCAGGAGCTCCAAGAGAGATTCATGCTCAATTAAAAGATATTGCTTTAAAAGCTTGGGATAAAATACGGCCTAAAGGATCAGAATATGGATCTTGGGCTAAAGTTCTACAAGGAGCCAATAAACCGTATGTTGAGTTCATTGCAAGACTTCAAAATGTTATAGAAAAAACAGTAGTGGGACAAGACTTACAAGAGCATCTCTTAAAAATGTTAGCTTTTGAAAATGCTAATGATGAATGCAAAAGGGCTTTAATTCCAATAA